TATATTCTAACATTATTTTGAATAGGATGTACCTACTTAAAGTAATATTAAATATCTTTTTTAGACAATATTCCAATCATTACAATCACAGATTTAAAAGATGTCATTAATGACCCAACTAATTCTTCAGATAGAATTAATAAGATTGAAAAACTAAAAGAAAAAATTAATTATATTGTAGACAAGGGATGCTGGGATGCTGATGATGTTTTTACTGAGCATAATTATTCAAATTCTACTGTTTTTGATTGTATTGTGTATTATTTAGCCGGGTAAGACATTTTAATATAAGTACCTAGTTATTAGTTAGGTAAGTATTCTCTGAAATAATAAAAATAGATATTAATGTATAAATTGAATCATTTATAGATATATAGCAAAACAGTTAGTGGCACGGACTAAATGTGAATCGTGTAAAATATATTTAAAGAATATGAATACATCTTCAACTGTACCAGCAGCAGAATTAGTGAATGTAAAAAGTAGAGGTTACCTTACACATCCAAACACTAATTTATTTAAATTATTAAAGTCATTGGAGATATCTTTTGAAAAATTTGCTGACTCACCTACAGTTTTTGAAGATACATATGAAGATTTCTTTAGCAAAAATGTCAATATTAATTTTCCATGCATTGAACATCAAACAGATATTATAACAGATATCTGCACATACTATCTGATTATGAGAATGAGGCAATACAGCTATCAACTAAACCAAAACAATAAAAAACAAAATAAAGTTAAAAAAAAACTTTCAAAGTTGGTTAGTACGTGATGGATGGTATTATTAATTTTTTTTTTTTTGTGTTTCATATAATGTAATGGTATAACATTTGTATTTTGTATACAATTTTTTTTGCTGAATAAATTTTAAATAGTTATTTGATTTATTATTTACAAAATACTAAAGCATAGAAAGAGATTAAAGTATTTTAATTTATATTTATCAAAATTGTTATTAATTACTTACATACTTCTAAGTTCTAAGTCATTCGTTATAATTTTAATCGTAAATCACGAAGAAAATTTGAAATACTAAACAGGCAAACAGCGCGCCAGTGCGCCACTCGCCAGTCGCCACTCTGCACGGTATTTGAGCTTATAAACTATAGCCGCTGTTACATTCAAGCGCTAGTGGTTAATTTTCCAGCTGTTTTTAATAGTGATTTCAGTAAACACTTTATCATGATTCGTTGGGCAACCATACTATCTTAAATCGTGGCACGTACACGCATACGTGTATAGTGGAAACCCGCCTTATAGGATTCCGTTTTACATGGTTTTACTGTACCTAGGACGTACTTTGAACGTACAGAACCTCAAAAATCAGACGGTTATATCACTCTCCTGGATTTATTATTTATTTATTTATTCAGCCAAAATAATAACAATTAAATTATTACAATAAAATAAATTAATAATAGCTGAAAAATATCATATCAATTTGGCTTAGAATAAACAGCAAATAACATTTATCACTGGCCACCGAATTCAAAAATATTTTAATTTTTAATATATTATATTATTATAATATACAAAATACAATTATTTCACAACTGAGCAAGGCCGTATCTGAGGGAAGTCCATGGGGTCTGGACCGCCCCCCCCCCCAAATTTTTTTCAAAATGTTATTTTTAACCAAATATCAAAACATAAATTCAATAAAATTACAATATACATGATGTGGAAACCCTCCCCTCCCCCCGAAAATTTTGGATATGGCCTTGCAACTGAGTATAATATAATGACATAAATTTCCAATCATATTGTATTATTGTGTACTAGGTACTTTACTTAGTATATTTATTAGGCAGTGGTACTTTTATAGATTATGTCAATTTTGAGTCTTTACATAATAACTAGTAAGACAAAAATTAATAACATTAAACTATATATGTACTTATGTATTATTTATGTGTTTAAGTAGTTGCAGGTAAGCCGTAAGCATAATATAAGATTGATAACTTATTATTCATTATTATTCTCCTAGACTCTACGCCCTACATGTCAACTTATTTAACTTAAATATGTATACAATCTTACATAATATAACAATTCATTATTTAAATAATTAACAATGGAAATAAATCATTATTTTATATTTAACCAAAGTATTGTGTATTATTTATAATATATATTAAGATATCGATTTTGTAAATTGCGATATTGTTAGTCTCTCGCATTCAACAACAAAAAACACTTATGTTTCTAACATAGTAATAGTAATAACTAATAACTAATTAAATTGGTAGACGGAAAAAAAAACCAAAAAATAAAGACCACGGAAAAAAAAACCATAAAAATAAAAACCAAATTTTTATATTTTGCTATATTATGTCATATTTCATTAGAAATAAGTTTTAATTTTCTAATTAAAAATGTTGATCAATAATCCAACTGCCTAGGTGTCAGAGGCGGCTAGTAAAAAAATTTGAAGTGGGTGAGTAGGTGGTCACTGGTCAGTGGGGCAGTGCTCAGTAGTTTGGTAAAATGAAATTTAATAGAATTTAATAGTAATAGCGAAGCGAGAAAATTTTTTTTAGGGTATGTGGGTGATTTAAATTTATCTCCCCGGTAATTTAAACTTAAAATGTTTGTAAAAAATAACTGTGTATTTATATATTGTTCACATTGTTTGGTTACATTATGAACTAATTATGAGAATCATTGTTTTAAATGTTCAATCCTTAGCTATAAAAATTGAACATTTTATAATTTTTAAATAAATTTTAAAAAATTGTCACAATACAATAATTTTACAATTGATAGATTTTTATAAAGATTCGGATAATTTAAGTGAACCTGATATTGTAATAGCAGAAATTAAGATATGGAAAAATGTCTTTAAAAGAACTGAAGAAGATCAAAAGCCAAAAACTGTAATACAATTTCTACAATTTTGTGATGAAGACTTGTTGAAATCTTAAAACATATCTCAGAAATACTGTATCGGAAGACAGACTAAATGGACTTGCAATGCTTAATATTCATCGAAATGAAATCTTAACACCAGATGATATAATTGAGGAACTTGTAAAAAAAAAACAGGAGATTAAAATTTTAAAATAATTATAGGTTAAATAATATAATTTTTATAACATTTTATTACCAAATAAAAATTGATTTAAAATTATAGTACCTACCTATTGTTATAAACCTTTCTGTATATGTGCTGTGAGTGTGTGTATAACTATTGACTGTTGTAAGTAACTATATTATAGTTATTAACAGTAATGTGTTGGTAATGAATTAAACTATAATTATAATTAGAGAACAGATAAAATAAAAATTTTGGACCCCCCATAAAAAAATCCTGGGTACGCCTCTGATAGTGTGCTATTAGTTTTGATACTATAGTGAATTGACCCATTATAAATCGTTTAGGTAAAAACATTATTTGTGCTTAAGCGTTGCTGATTTTTCGAAATTTTCATTTTCAAGCAAGATATCGGTTTGTGAAATATCCAAAATTAAAAATGCTCATATCTCGCTTGAAAATTAAAATATCGAATAAAAGCCAATGCTTAAGCACATATAATGTTATTATCTAAAAAATGTATAATAGGTCAAATCACTTTTATATCAAAACTAACAGCACACTATTGAAACTAGCGAACGAAAATTTGCCATGTCGTATGTGTGTTGTGTGTAAGAGGTAGACAACAAATGCATGGGTAGCATCCTCGAATGGCGGACAATTTCCCCCCGGACATTTCCCCCCCCCCCGACTGTTTTTGGTGTAGTAGGACATTTTCCCCCCAATATATATTATATTCGATATACTATATATTCGATGCGGACATTTCCCCCCATTTTTTTTTAAGTTTATTATTTATTATTTAATAAGAAATTATTTTTTTTCAGTAAAATATAATTTTTTTTTTATAAATATAATCAATTATACTATAATTACCTATTATAGTAGATGTATATTTTTGATAAATTCAACTACTTGAAACAATAAAATAATAGTAATATTATATTTAAAAGATTGTCTAAATAAAAAATAATAGTACTAGCATACTGTATTATTCGCTAGTAACATTGAAATCTAAAATTGTATCTAAAACCCAATCAATTGCTGGGCTGTCAAAAACTATCTTATTATTTGATTTATTAGACTATTAAGATAAGATTCTTCTACAATCTTATATCTTCATGAGCAAAGGTTTTGGACTTTTGTATAAAAATTGTTCAAAGCAGTTGTAGTCATTTAGTAGTGGTTTATTAGTGATTGTAACTTGTAATTCGTAAAGTGAAAAATATATAAAATAAACATGTTTGTGTGTCTTATTACTCTTATTATAAATATGAAAAAAAAAATTAAATTTATAGTTTACATTTATAAAGTTAATTGTAGTAGGTATAATTGATTATATTTAAGAAAAAAATAATTTAAAAAAAAGGGGGGAAAATGTCCGCATCGGAACATTTTTCGGGGGGAAAATGTCCTACTACGCCAAAAACAGTGGGGGGAAATGTCCGGGGAGAAATTGTCCGGATACCAGCATCCTCTTAAGGTAATACTTTTCTTTTCTTTAACCAAATTAATATACATATTGTGATAACACGTTTGAAGTTATTTAGTTATTAGTAGTTGTTGTTTGATAATATTTTTGAGCAAACAATGAACATTTTCATGTTTTAAATTGTTTAGTTGTATCCACGGTGTAGATGTAGAATATTAGAATGCGCTACATAATATTATAATTATTTAAAAAATCGGCCTTTTTAGCGCTCCTGGCGGATTATTCCCGCATTTCATACCGTCAATAATACCGTTCTGTGATAATACCGACTCAAACATTTTTTAATCAAAGAAGTGACTAAATCGTACTATCACGATTCATGCATGATTCGTCGTGATCATGACGTGTAAGATTACCTATATATTTTTATTTTGTTCAAATACGATGAAAAGTTATAAAATATATTGTACTCCACAATGTGGATGTTTTAAAGGAATTAAATAACTATTAACTTTATATAATAATAATATGTATTTCCAACTTTTATTGTACTTCATATTCTCATTAGTTGCAGTGTTCATTGTATTGTTCGTGTTTATTGCTGTGTTACGATGGCACTATGCAAGCAAAAAGAGGAAATTTCCAACTCAATTTAGCATAGCGTTTTTCCATCCTTACTGCAATGCTGGTGGAGGTGGGGAACGTGTACTATGGTGTGCCGTCAATGCTGTTAGTACTGCATACCCTAAAGTAAAAATCGTTATCTACACTGGCGACTTGGAAGTATCCCCTGTAGAAATAATCAAACGAGCAAAACAGAGATTTAACATTACACTACCAAATAATTTAGAGTTTATTTATCTCCACAGAAGAAAATGGGTAGAAGCTGAAAATTACCCTTATTTCACTCTTTTAGGACAAAGTCTTGGGTCTATTGTCTTAGGCATTGAGGCATTGCGTTTATTTCAGCCCGATATATACATCGACACTATGGGTTATGCGTTTACATTACCATTGTTTTGTCTTATTGGTGGTTGTAAAGTCAGTTGTTACGTTCATTATCCAACTATAAGTTCAGATATGATAAATAAAGTGATTCAACAAAAAGGAAAACGTAGAACAATATCTTATATTAAACTTGTATATTATCAATTATTTGCAAAACTGTACGGCTTAGTTGGATGGTTTGCTGATTCTATCATGGTAAATAGTTCATGGACTGAGGATCATATCAATACCCTTTGGAAACGACCCTTAAGCACTTACAAAGTATATCCTCCGTGTGATACATCTGACTTACAGGGTTTGCCATTAGAGAGACAAAAAACTAAATCTGTAAAAATTATAAGCTTAGCACAATTCAGACCAGAAAAAGATCATCCATTACAACTCAAAGCCATGTACCATCTTAGACAAATTATAAATGAGCATGTATGGGAAAATATCGAGCTTGTTTTTGTTGGTTCAACAAGAAATCAGGAAGATGAAATGAGAGTTGTTGATATGATGGATTTATGTAAACATTTGTCTTTGGAGAATAATGTACGATTCAAAGTAAATATCAGTTACGATGAACTTAAAAACGAACTATCTGAAGGTATATTGATTATGAAAATAATATGCAAGTCTTAAATTCTTAGAAACTAATATTTTATTTATGCTTCCAGGGTTGATTGGCTTACATGCAATGTGGAATGAACATTTTGGTATTGGAGTTGTAGAATGTATGGCTGCAGGATTAATAATGATTGCACATCGTTCTGGTGGCCCTTTGATGGATATAATTATAGAAGACGGTGCTGGACAAAATGGATTTTTAGCTTCAAATGAAGTGGAATATGCACATGCTATACACAAAGCATTGTTGTTGTCAGATACTCAAAAATTGTCGTTACAAAAGGCTGCCAGAGGATCGGTAAATCGGTTTTCTAATCAACAATTTCATGATAATTTTTTGAGAGCAATACAACCATTGTTTAGTTTTAAAAAATTTAAATAGTTCATTGTATTTAAATAAAAGGTTAAATTGTGTCATTTTGTCATCCTTTTTAATTCGTATAGCACTTTTTCAAAAAATATAATATTATGATGTTATTAGAAAGTATAACAATTGATTTATAATAGACAATGTATATTATAAAATCAATGCTATAACTATTATTAAATAATAACAACTTGACTACTCAAAAGCGTAAAGCTATTGGGGTTTTATCTAGTTCACAACATTTTATTGCATATTACATTTAAAGATTTTGTAGCTATTGTATTAAAAAAAAAAGAACAACTGTCATATCAGTTAAAATTGATTAAAATCATATTTATATTACAATAATTATTATATTAATTACAAAATATTACCACAGAATAGATTTAAATAGAATTTAATCTATTCTGTGATAATACCTTACTATACTATATGTTTATTGTGTAATAACTACTTATTATTTTTTTTTTTTTTCAAATATTGTTGAAACTATTAATTTAATATTATTTTTGGGTTGATTAATAAATATGTATTATTGTTATTTTTATAATTATTTATAAGAAGCTTAGAAAGTTTTGAAACATTTTTATTATTTTTCATGTTAGCACATTGATGTTTCCAAACTTTCTAGTTACTATGTGTCCTATATATGTACATTATATACATATTGTATTGACTATTGTGTATAATTGTACTTTTTTAATACAAATTCATTTTAAGGAAAAATGTCTTAATCTGTAAGAATGTTAGATACTTTTTTTCGTGGTTTCATGTAAAAATCTAATTTTTTCTTTTTTGCATAAATATTATAAATACTTTTCAGTTTTCACTTGGTTGCAAATTAAAATTTTTTCATTAAAACAAATTTAAATTGTTTGTTTCTTGGGGATTTCACTCTATTATTATTAATACATTTATTGGAATATTATATTGTATTTAATTTCAATTTAAACTTAAAAAAATAACTATCAATTGTGAATTAAAAAGTATACAGAACTCAGAAGAACAAGCTGTGGAAGAAACTATGAGAGATAATTAATTAATATATTTTTATTTTTTTAATACATTATTACGGAATTTGATTAAGTTTACAATAACTTAAGTATAAGTGAAGTGAGATGTTGAGACTTGATAAGTGACCTGTTAAAGGGGTCATTATTGATGGAACTTTGAGCACTGGGAAGCTAAATGATTATTCAACTAATAACTTGCAGCACCAATTGTGTTTTAGAGGGTCACCAAGGATGTTGGCAGTCAGAAGATATCTATAAGATTTCGACAGGAAAATAAGGATGCGATTAGTGGTTGAGCTCCAGAGTTGAAATTCATAGGTGATGTTTAAGTATATACCTACCTGGCTACCTACCTATATACTAGTTTAAGTTAAAGTATTTTAGATTCCAATACATTATAAATTTATAATACCATAATATGCAAATCAAAATACAGAGCGATGGATGTATTATGATTTTACAATAATGTGTTTTTTTGTGTGTTACCTATGTCTGGTTATGTGCCTATGTACAGTTAACACGTTTAATAGCAGTAAAAATGATTAGATCTATGATATTTTTATAATTGGGGCCCTAAGACTTGAGTCCCAGATCGTAGAGCCCGTATTTTAATTGATATTACTAGAATAAAATGTAATTTTTTCTAAAATATGTGGTAAAATATAAATCATGTTTCGTGATAAAAAAAAATAATGAAACGTAAAATATTTTAAATTTGAGTGAAATAACTTATTATGATTATAACAGCTAGATGTTAATATATTGACTGCAAAATTACCTACAAATAATAAATAAACATTGCATTTATCTTAGAAATAGATATTAGATGTAAGGCTGTTCCTCAAAATTTTTCTTATGACAGTTAAAAAATATCAAAATACAAAGTCACAGTTTTTCTTTATTTGTTTAAATCTAAAATTTTGACAAATTCGACAAAATTTCAAAAATTAGTAAATTATTTTGTTGTTAAAAATGCATTAAATTTTTATATGTAATTATATGCTTTAAAAATGTAATACAACATTTTCCATAAATTTTCTTTACAGGAATTAAAAAAAAAAGGTTTAGCAGAAAGCAATAACAAAAAAAAAACATGAATTATATTGGATGTTTAAGCTACGCTAGCCCTGGATCTTCACATAGCCACATAGGTATATTATGTGCTTATTGGGTTATGACTATATTATTATACTAAGTAGGTAATTACTAATTAATAATGTAACAGTAATTTTGGAAAACATTGAAAGATATTACAAATAGGTAATTATATTATAAAAATAATTATACAATTATAGAAATTAAAATGTTGAGCTTTTAATTAGTCACATTATTTCTTTCATTTAGCTGGGATTGTTTTTTGGCCACTTCTTTACCTTTGTTGAAACCATCATGTGGATATTCTCCCAAAAAAAAATCCATCATGAGATTGCCGTTGTTTGCTAAAAAAAAACAATACCAAAAAACCTTATAGTTAAGTACTTATAGTCTGTTTTCTTTTAATATTTTGACAATGAGTACTTAGTTAAGTACTTACTACTTAGTTAGGTACCTATTGATAAATAAGTAATACATTTCATACCTGGATCACTTAAATACTGATCAAAATCTATTATTCCTTCTTGTTTTAGCACTTCGTCATCAATTAAAAATTGTCCGTTATAATGATCATATGGTTTGGTTATGATTGAATAAGCTGCATCAGCCATAATATCAGGTTTGCGCGAATATGATTTTGCTTCATTTATGCCCGACAACATTTCAACAGCTGCTGTATGAATTACTATAATATACCAAACAAATATCAATAAAATTTTCAAATCACCATAGGCCAACCTCATATCTATTACACAGGTAGGTACCAATTATCATTAACCTATTCTAGTATTATTCTGAGTAGGTATATAAAATTATAAATAGGTAACTCAAGAATACTCGTATGAATTTTGATTCTGCACTTCAAAATGTTCAGAAAAATTATAGACAAAATAATTTAAAGTAGATAAGAGTGATTTTCTTTTAATCGAAAAACAAAAGTTAGTATCTTCACAGGGCACTCCTTATGTATATAGTAATCAAAATCTTAAGAATTTCAAAACATGGTTTTTAAGTAGGCAGGTACCTATATTTAAAAATTCAGAAAATCAGATTTTCAGTAACTGCATCATTCAAGAAAAAAAAAGGATGATGAGCATGCTCGGAGAATCTGTATAATTTATTTACTACATAATATTACCAGTTCTAGGCCATAAAGCATTCACTGCAATGTGATCTTTCTTCAATTCTTCAGCCATTCCTAATATACACATTGACATTCCATACTTGGCCATTGTGTACGCAACGTGATCCTTAAACCAATTAGGATTCATATTCAACGGAGGACTAATGTTTAAAATATGAGCATGTTTGCTTTTCTTTAAATAAGGCAGACATATTTTTGATCTAAACAGAAAAATAATAAGGTAAACGCCAACTGTCGTCTGGTCAATAAGGTAGTACATAACAATTTTGAATTAGGTATATTACACAAGAAATGTTCCTCTTGTATTAACGCTATGCATCAAGTCATATCTCTTCATGTCAGTGTCTAAAGTTCCAGTTAATGATATTGCACTAGCATTGTTGATGACTATATCTATACCTCCAAATACATCAACAGCTTTTTTAACAGCATCAAATATTTGAATTTCATTCCTTACGTCCACAACACAAGGTAAGCATTTTCCTCCTGCTTCTTCGACTAAAATATAATGAAAACATTATACAGCATATAAAGTGTGTATAGGTATAGGTAGATTTTTATTTTTTAGTAAAGCAAGGGTGAAGGTATTAGGTTGGTAGGTAAGTACATTTTTGTGTACCTACGTGTAACCTATGGATATTTAGTTTAAGAATTAAGTAATTTTAGATTCTGAGGGGAACGATGAATGTATTGATTTTACAATGATGTGTTTTTTAATTTTTTTAATTAAAATTTTATTGTGTGTCTGTGTACACGATAAGTAGTCGAAATACTGCTTGAATTAAAATGGGTTTTTAACTTCAGAATCCTGTTGGATGAGAAAGTTAATCTAAAACAATATCGTTTTTGGTGTAACTCTAAAACAAATTACCGCAGATAGTTGACATTTTCACTGGTTGTTTATATTAGAATTTTCTATAAACAATAAAATATTTTGATTTGTTTTGAACTGTTCAAAGACATTTTCACTTTCCAATTTTAGATTCTGAGCGGAGCAATGAATGTATTGATTTTACAATGATGTGTGTTTTTTTTATTAATTTTATTTTTGTGTCTGTGTAAACGATAAATAGTCGAAATAATGCTTTGATTTTCAACTTCAGAATCTTGTTCGATGGGAATAGAATATTGTTGGTGCATTGGGGAGGTCAAAAAATTTCCAATAGTTTTCCAAAGCGCCGGGAAAAACAAAAATAAAGAAAAACGGAAATTTCTATGCAAAATCGATTTTGAATTTTGGTATAACTTTAAAATAAATTACAGTAGATATATGAAATTTTCACTGAATGTTTATATTAGCATTACCCATGCATGGTACAAATATGTAGATTAATTATTTTTAACTGTTCATGGACATATTCAGTTTCCAATATTTTTAAATATTTTAAATTTTTTTTTAAAGGAATAGGAACGTGAATCAATTCCTTATTTTTAGGATTAGGAAAGTAAATATTATAATTCTTTTGTTCTTCACGGAAAAGTTTAAAAAACATTTAGGGAGAAAAATGTTGTATTTTTGTTTACTTATCATGATTTTAATCTATAAAAAAAGATAAAAAAAATAGACGAGACTCCCAATTTTTTATTCACATGTGACTATTGTGACTGTTTTCTGATCAGTGATTATGATAATAACTAATAACTCATGAACGACATGAACCATGAGGAACGAGGAAAATAAAGAGTTCCTTTTTCATAGGAACTAGGAATTGAACTAGTTTCTTTTGAGTTTTGACATTAAATGAATGAGGAACTAAACGAATTCCTATTTATACTAAAGGGACGAGGAATTTTAATAACACTGAATATATTAGACGTATTTAAGTATTTTTAAAATATTACTTTCTCTTGCAGCTGTATATATGGTTCCGGGGAGTTTAGGATGTGGTTCAGTAGTTTTAGCTGCAATAACTATGTTGGCACCATCCTTTGCTGCTTTCAAAGCAATTGCCTTGCCAATACCACGGCTTCCTCCAGTAATGAATAATGTACGCCCTTCCAATTTTCTAAATGACCAACAAGTTTATTTTATTAAAAAGATTTCAAAACATTTGATAATATATTTTTTGACATCTCAATTTTAAACCTAGACAATACGCTACAACTTATAAATAATATATTGAAATTTATAAGGACCGACCTTAAACGAACAATACATTTAAATAACATTTATTTATGTCTTGTAAAAACCATTTACCTCTCAATAGACACATTATTCTCAATAAAAAAATATTTTTGTGCTATTATCCGTTAAAACTTTAAATTTATTAGGCAATGTATATGCGTATGTTTGGTAATAATAATTAATGTGTTACCTATTTATATTACTATATTAGCCGAGGTAGGTAATTGATCACTTGATTAGTGATTACTAAAATAGGTAGTCAATTATATAGGTTAAAGGTAATCTTGTTTATACACTATTTAATATTTATATACATTATCATAATACTGCAACATTCTCACGTTGTCAGTAGATCTCCTAGGAGATAAAGTTTTTAAATGGGTACCTACCTAGGTTTACTATACGAATGAATAAATAATAATTAAATTAAAATTAAAATTGTCTATTCAGTCGAGTATTATTTCTATCACTATTATACAGATTACAGAGTGTCCCTCGAGGATCTACCCATTGCGATACCTCCTGAGATAATAAATAAAACATAAATCTTTCTGTTTTTCTTTGACTCACTGAGGCAAGGACTAGGAACATTTACTTTATTTTTTAATTTAATTTAATTTTATGGTAAAAAGTTAAAAAAAGTTTGAAACAATAAAATTGTTTGACTTTTCAGCAATTTATTTTTATTAATCTCATGATTTTTAACATTTTTTATATTTTTAAGACGTATGTCAAAATGTTAACATCTAACTCTTAAAAAAATATTGTGCCCATGTATTTTTAATATTTTTTGTTGTTAAAAATGTGCAGGTATCTTGCATGTATTATATTTTCAAGTTTATTGACCGAGTCTATAAACTAAAAAAAAAAAAAAATCAAAAATGTCAAATGTCTATAAATAGCGCATGTTAGTAATCATTTTTTCATTAAATTCGAAGTTAAACATGAACTGTTGCATTTTACTTTCTTGATCTTTAATCAAATAAGTATGGTAATTGAAATGAAAAAAGTCTGAATTTTGAAAACATCAAGAACTTGTGTTAAATAGGAAAATAATAAAAACGTGACTCAGCAATGACGAGTAGGTGGGTAATTTAGCTAGCTTTAATAAAAATATATTAATGAGAGAGATTTGATATCACACCCAAGCTGTATAAGTGTATAACCACTTGAATCCATAAAAACTTCCGCGTGAACAGTCCGAACATTTCTATTTTTTAACTTTTCTCCTAAACTATGACAGCTAGAAAGTTTTTTGATAATTCATTAAAAAGGGATTATCAAGTAGATTCTAAATGTGGAATTAATATATTTTTTTAAATTATTTAATTTCACACAGATAAAAAAAGTTATTTTTTGCTAGATTTTCATTTAACGAGGTAGATTTCCTAAACTGGAGAACGGATTTTGTTGTTTGGGGTCTTGTTAGATTCTTATTAGCTAGGAGAAGTGCAGTGAAGATTTTCAGAACTTTACCTCCAATAATTAATTCACTACAAAGTTGTAAAGCTGAAAAACATCAAAAATCGCTCAATAAAATTTGTTTTAATTTTTTTTGATGTTCTGAAGTGAATTAACTATTAAAGATAAAGTTCTGAAAATCTTCACTGCACTTCTCCTAACCAATGTGAATCTAACAAGACCCCAAACAACAAAATCCGCTCTCCGGTTTCGGAGGTCTATCTCTCAAAATAAAAATGATTTTTTGTGAAGCTGTTCACATCGACATTTTTCTGGATTCAAATTGTTATGCCACTTGGGTGTGATATCAGCTAATCAATTTTTAAAAAATTAAAAACCAAGAAAGTTTATATGCCGATCCCTGACTTGGCAAGCGTTTTTTATTGGATATTTCTATCCCATTACTATTTACCTACTATTATCATATGACATATATAATGAATTAATTAAAAAATAATATGGTTGATGGATGTATGAGTGATTCATTTATAATACGTATCTTCTTTAGTATTTACAGACTAGGTAACATAAAGACAATATTATAGTGAACCTATTACTGTTCTCAGTTCTGTGTTAAAAATGGTAATTAAATGCATTAAGTAGGTACTTAATATTTTAATCGAATAGATATTCTGTTAATTGCTATGAACATAATGAAATAACTTGTGATGTTTACTTACCTAATATACGTACATACCTATAAAAAAATAATGTAATAACCGACTACTTTATTGGCAGGTACCTTAATAATATACAAATTACCTAGGTACTTATTTACACATCTTATTCTTTAGATATACCTATAGATAAGTAAGTAACTAACTAACTTAAATAACTATAACAAGTATACAAAAGTATTTCAATGATTATGATGAATGAATTACGAAAGAAAATTATAATTTATTATAATTTATCTTTATCAATAAGAAAAGAAATAAATTTAAACTAGTTTAATCAAAAGTTAAGCCCAATAGCATGCATGTTAATATGTATTATTTATATTAACTTTTATTTATAGCAATTTTATTATAAAATTATTTACATACCCAGTATTAAGCATTTTAAAGTAATCAGAATAAAGTTTAACAAGTATATTTCAAAAACACCAAAGCCAAGGTATTAGTACCTATATAACTATTACAAACCATAGGCACGGAACAACTAAAAATTATAATTTATAATGAAAATATTAAATTTCCTGTAAAAAAAATGTATAACGAGTATTTAATATCCCTACCTATAAGTATGTTTTTTGAAAGGATAATGTGTTGACGAAGCAAGCGATTTAAACTAATTAGCACAAATTTATAGAATACATTAATATGTGCATCAAGCATTACACATTACCTAATTATTACCAATATTACTTAATTATCATGTATATTAGATGCAATTTTTATTTTTAGCATCCAACTTATAGGCCAAAGAGTAACCATTAAATACTAATGAGTATAAATTTGCAATACCTAGGTAATAATATATTATATATTATTATAAATTATAATATAACATGTAATTGGTTGATTGTGCAGGTTAGATTAATTATTTTATTGAACAATTTCAAATTTGACTTTTTGAACTTTTTACTTTTGCCTGGCAGTGTATGACTACTTATAATATTCAGTTTATTTTAATCTGGTTTATGATTAGGGAAAGTTGATTGGGATGAAAATTCAATACAATACCTATCATTGAAATTATTTTAATTAGCTACCTACCTATATTAATATTTAATATTTATTATTTATTATTGTAAATTTAATATATTATATAAATAGCTATGCACATATACAACCTACTTAAATATTTTTCAATTTTTATATTAATATAGTATTTATCAGATCATATTAGTGTTGTACTGCGGGCATATACAGCGTGATCACAATATTAGGTACCACTGAATATCTCAGATGGGTGTCTTTGTATAGAAAAGGGATTTTCGGGAGGTGATAGGAAGCACTTAAATACATATATTTAGACCAGTTTCAAATTTTTAGCTCACACGGTACGCGCATGCGCAATACGATTTACTTTTTTTTAAATGGCAACCCTAGTTTTTTCTATTTTCAAAACTGACCAAGTTAAAGTAGGTAAGTCAAAAATTGGATTTATGCATAATATGTGTTTAATGCAATTTTCATTTATAACCACTGGAAATAATAAAATAAGTGCCAAATAAATGGGGGGCGGGGTGGCCGAGCGAACTAAGGCGGCGGTTGTGAAGCGCACCACCGCCAGTTCGAACTCGGCCACTGGTGGCATTTTTCTTCTGGCAGTCAAGGTGTCTGGAGAGAGAGGCCAACATGGCGACATCCCACACCTGGGCATGGCAGATACCTAAGTGTGTGTTTGTTTTGGCAGAATTTTTTTGTGGGCACGCCTCTGCATCATATTATTATTATTGTTATTTAAGAGGTTGGCAGGACGCAATTTATTATTGTAAACGTACAACAACCAATACTTGTGTTCAGCTTTATCAATTTTGTGTAATGTGTTCTTACTTAGTTAGCTATAATATTAGAGTGAATCGACCATAAATTAAATTAAAATGTAAGAAAATTAAACGTGTATTAATGTAGTTTGAACATCAGGTTTTCACAATTTTTCAATATTTATAAGCTCAAGTTATAAGTATTGAGTATATAAAATTAAAAGTTTAAAAAAAGTATATAACTGACTTATAAATTAAAATATCATAATAGTACATCCGTTATGCATATTGAATTTGTTGACGTGTGGGTACTGTAGTTTACAGAGATAACTAACCACAGGTGTGCGTCTGGTGGCCTCTTGAGATTGGTGACATTGCCACGTTCCTTGTAGGTTTCTAAGTGCTTATAACTTATAAGTACATCTTATTTGTGTAAACATTACAAATAATATATCAAATAATTGTACTTAAAATCATTTATTTATTCAATAGAGTATTGTTTTTGCTAATAACTTGTACAAATGTTACCTATATAGAATATAGATAAACTGATTATTAAACACATTAATACAAATGATTATACAAATTTAAAAACAATTTAAGCAATTAATAATAAGTAATAATAATTTAATTACTAATATTATGTCCGACTCCAACGTCCATACAATTCGTTGAAACAATATAATAGAAATAAATATTGTTTATTGTTATAACTAAAAAATAATAGAAAAATGGAGGTCAAGTGCAGGGTATGTACCGCTGTGCTGTGCAGTTGTAGGTGTCGAGTGGTTCACTATAATAGATGTGTTGATATAATAATATATTAATATAATATCATTGTATACAAAAACGATTCTCAGCGAAGACGGTCTGTCAGTCTATATTACCACAGAATAGATAAATTATATATTATTAATATTATATTTTTATTGCTATTAAAGTAATTTGTTTTACTATTAAATGAGGTGGTCGGGTGTAGCGCGCTAATTGTATATAGTTGTAGAGATTAATGTAGTGTCCCTACAATACACCTAATGTACTATGTAGCGATATACTTTAGAACACTATAAATTTTTGGTTAACGTATCGAAAATTACCATTAGTTTGTTGCTACATTCAACCTATTAATTGGTGATAGTTAAAATAGTAAAAAAAATAGATAAATAGATAACTATTACATTAATTAATTTATATTGTAATAATGATGAGTAGGTATATTAATGCATTTTTCGGGTTTATGAACTCGTGAAGTTAAAACCCGTCCATTCACCAAATGTTAAATCAGTACAAATTACAAACTATCAATTTTCTATTGGGACATTTAAAATAATATGGCTAAAAGTAGCACTCTGCATTTAAACAATAGTGTTAGAAGCAGGGCTTAAAATTTTAAAAATAAGCAGTGATATTGATAGCGAGCTACTAATTTAGGCGAGTGGCGCCACTAGCTGTATCATTACAAAAAAACATTAGCGTCCCGACTACTGGAGTATTAATGCAGTATATCTTTATCTTTTAGATTTTTTGGTTACATTAGGAACTGCTTATTAGAAACCTTGTTTTCAATTTGCAATATATAAGAATATATAGTATAATATAATATAGTTATATATTTATACATTTTATAATTTTTAACATTGCATATTTTTGTGATTTTGATTAATTTGAACATTAAATGCTTATGAAAAAAATTGTGCCCAAGCATCTTTAATATTTTTGAACCACTATCATAACAATTTATTAGAAATTTTGTATTCAATTTTCAAGCTGTTTGATACAACAAATTATTTTTTATCAATATTTAAATTAAAAAATTTAAATAATTGGAAATATCTATAAATAGTCCAGAAAGAGTTTTTATTTAAGATTTAATTCACACACATCCGATCATGATATATTATTGAACGGAGCCAAAATGATAATATATTATTGTCTCCAATAATAATTTGTCAGCCCACAGACCATACGGAAAGTATGGATCGGAGAACTCATTAAAAACAATATAACAATTAATATTCTAGACACCATGGACTGTAGATTTGTTATAGAACTTTAAACATATCTTATATAAGTTTAAGAAAATAAAGTAGTAGGAGAAAAATTATTGTAAGCAAAGTATAAGTATACGTTATAATATTATATTAAAACTGCATATTTAATTGTGTTATTGTACAATAATAATATAATATTATAAAATTAAATAAAGTTTTAAAAATTTCCAAAAACATTTTGTAAGAAATAATAATTATAATTAAACAACAACAATAAATAATAATAATTTGTTCTCAATTTCATAATAACCGTATTATAATTATTTTTTAGTCAAAAAACCTTGAGGATATGATGACTGCCATCTCCATGTATCTTCACACATTTCTTTCAATGTTCTCTTAGCTTCCCATCCAAGATATGATTTGGCAAACGATGCATCACAATAAGAAGAAGCACAATCACCCGAACGACGATCAACAATATCATATTTCACTTTTTGTCCACTAACTTGACTAAACATATCAATTACCTGAGCAAAATAATTAATAAACATAATTAATTAATATAATATAATGATAATTGGTAAATTTTTTTTCATAAATATAATCCAATTTTGTATTATGTATATTTTAAAAAATAATAATTTAGGAATAGGTCAAACTTGAATTGTACTCAAACTTTCTACTAATTTAAAAAAATTAACCATAACAAATTTTAAAATAAAATAGTTATAAAACAGTGTAAAACTTAGCCAAACATTTTTTTTATATTAATCTGCTGTCATTTTTTAACATTTAAAATTTGATTTTGATCAAACTATACAAATTAATATTTTCATTTTCTAACTTTAAGGTGTTTGGGGGTACTCGAACACATCACTAAATAACATGATAAATTTAAATATACAGGTAATTCCTATACATAATTTGACAGTAATTTTTTTAATGTAGTATATAATGTTTGGCAATTTTATTTAATAATAAAATTATGTTATGAGACATGAGTATTTTAAAATTTGTATCATTAGTTTCAATAATTTTGTTTGAGATACAAAAAATCTATAAAATAACTTGTTTTATAAATTATATAAATAGTAAATACAATATATTAAGATATGATAAAATATAGTTTTCTGAGGCAGTATCTGAGTTACAATATAATTTTTAAGTTAATTTATGACTTTGTTTTATGTTATCAATTCAAAGTTTTTAATTTATCTTTTTAAACACTATAACTACATATTTGAAAAATTATTCATTACTTGTATCACTGAGTATCCATTTCCTGTGCCTAAATTTATAGCTATAGCTCCATTTTCATCAGAATTTTGTAGCTTTTTTAATGCACTAACATGACCTTCGGCCAGATCCATAATGTGAAGATAGTCTCTTACTCCTGTTCCATCAATAGTGTTGTAATCGTTACCAAAAACATTTATACATGGTCGGTTTCCGACAGCTACTTGAGCAACATATGGCATTAAATTGTTAGGAATTCCAGTAGGATCTTCTCCCAAAGTTCCAGAAGGATGAGCTCCAACTGGATTGAAATAACGCAAAATAATCACAAACCACTCCTAAGAATAAACACACATATTAGGTAAATAATGAATTAAATATTATTATGATTGTTGTAAAATATACTTTATCAGAATTGCATAAGTCTTGTATTATTCCTTCAATATAATATTTTGATTTAGCATATCCATTGAGTAAATTTTGACCAACTGGGTGCGATTCAGTTATCGGTAGAAATTGTGGTTCACCATATACTGTAGATGAGGAGGAAAATACAAGCTTCTTTACATTGTGTTCTTTCATAACCTATCAATTAAGTTTATTATTAGTCTACGTGTTATAAATGCAGTTATTATTAAAGTAATTATTTATAGTAGTTACACTTAACATACTTGAAATAAATTGATTGATCCTGAGACATTGACTCGATAATAAGTCAAAGGAATGATACATGATTCACCAACAGCTTTTAATCCAGCAAAATGAATAACACAGCAGAAGTTATGCTAAAAATACAATAAGTATATAAATAAATATTACTGATCATAATATTATGCTTGTTATGTTGTTAATATCCTAGTTACTCATCACAATTATTCACTATTCGTTAAATTCTGCAAAGAGAGTGCCTTTTCTGACGACACATTGCAACATTTACAGGATACTCCAGATTTTCTAGGAAAAACTCTTTTTCTGAGCTGACTTTTATTCTAATCGCAAATAGCTTCCTTTCTCTACCACTATTATACTGTCATAACCATCTCCTTCCCTATATGCCAAGGACCTATTAGGATCTTTCCCCTTGAACAACCTGTTTTTTTGTATTTATTTATATTCATCTACAACTGTTTATCTTAAGTTTTTAATAGTATAATATATCTTTATTACATTGTAATTGTCATTTGTATTCCAATAAATAAATAAATAACAAACAAGGGTAAAGACCATTATTTAAAACAAATTTTTCCTACTGGTAATTTAATATCATTATTAATTTTTACAATAAATTAAGAAATTTAAAAATTAATTTTGATGATAATATATAGTCAGAATATAAAAATATGGCTTTGTTCTATCTATATTAGTGAGAATAATGTTATGTCATAAATAATCATTTGGTATATAAACTAAACACTTTACATATATATTGTGAGATTTATATAATAATAGGTATAATGAAACATAAAACTAACCTTATCAAATACTTTGGAGAGTGAATCATAATCCAAGAGATCAACGTTATAGAATGTGACTGGCTTTCCAACTAATTTTTCAACATGCGATATAGGTACTGGATTTTGTCCTTCATTTCCTAAATTAATAATATTTTAAAATAGAATACAACAGATAGTTGGTTTTATTTAGCATTATGTGAATCAGTGTTGGAAAAGTTCACTTAAAAACTGAACTAGAAGTAAAACAGGTAAGTAACTAGATCAATATGTAAAACTGAACTTAATTGTTCATTAAACAAATTAACGTTTTCATCAGATTGTTTATTTTGATTATTTATTTAAAAATGAATTTCTAACTGCAAAAATGGGTCAACTAATTGTATGGAAGTATAAATACTAAAATAAATAAATGTAAATAAAATATTCTAAATTTATTATTTGGAATATATTAAATTTTTACATATAATTCATTTTACAAAAATGCATATGATTTGAACAGCCTGTAATCATATAAGTTTTCTTCAAATATGAATTTTGTTCACATTATATTTGATAAAAAACAAGAGATGTTTATTACAATTTACAATTAATAGAATTCAGTTAACATTAACATGAACATGAACTATTCAAACACTGATTTAGATACAATATTATACAAGATAAGAGCAAGCGTAATAAATAATAATCAGTAGCGTACGCAGGATTTTCATTCGGTTAGGGTTTTACCCGTGTAAATAATTTACTATATTTTTTGCTAAACAGTTTTAATATAATTGGTTATAACAAATTATAGTTAATCTTCATTTAGAATACTCGAGTGTTTAACCTGGTCATCTGGTCATCATTCTATAGCCTCTTCGTGTCGTAATACACGTGGTAATAATCGATAGACGATGATACACCATACAACGATTGTGGTAGACGTTTAGCAATGTTCTAAATCAGCCAATAAAAAACTGAAACAATGATTATCGACGTCTTTGTCATATTTAACAATTGATTTTATATCTATTAAAAATTACCATCAATTTATGGTAATTGTAATATAACTGTGTATTATGAAATGGGGGTAAATATGATTTTTTTGTAAAAGGAAGACATTTCAGGGGGGGTTAGAACCCCTAGAACCCTACCCCTGCGTACGCCACTGATAATAATACAGTTTAGAAAATAGATTAGATGTAAAAGCATGAAAAATAGTTATAAATTATAACTTATATTTAACTCCATTCCAACGCTTACGACTCAACCAATTAATGTGAATGTATAACTAATATAATTAAACAAATATTATATTTTATTAAAAATGTTATTATTAAGTTTTACCTAAATACTTAATATTAATTTAATTTTAAAACTATAAAATCTACTTTTATTGCATTTGGCATATTTGCATATTATGGCAATTGTGTTAATTGATTTGTTAGATACATTATATAATAATAATAATTTAAGATTTAAATTACCTATTAAATAATAATTTTTTTGTCACAATTAATGTCTTACTATGATTTAAACAATGCAATAAACTAATAACAAACCATAAAAAAAGGTTTCATTATCAAAAAAATATATAATTATGATTAATATTAGACAACTATATAAATAGTATTTCTAACAAAGAATCTGTATTATTAAAATTTGATAAAATAAAATAAAAAAATTCAAATAAATATTTGTAGAGGAATGAATACAGTATCTCGTTTAATAGTTTGACACATATTAATAAAATGTAGTATAACATACCTTTACATGCATTTGACAAATTATCTAAGACCACCACCTCATACCCTGATTCAATTAAAGGTATAATAGTATGGCTACCAACATACCCTGCGCCACCAGTTAACAAAACACATTTGCTTTTTGTACTATCCATTTTGTGAATAATTATTGTAACCAGGAGTACTTTTTACCAACAAAATTCTAAAAAAAATAAAATATATTCATAACAAAATACAATTATTTTAATTATTTTCATATAATACAATTTGTACAGATTGAAGTATAAAAAAGACAAAAACCCAACCCTTTTATAGTGGTATTATTCATAATAATAGGTTCAACATTAAATATTATTATGCAATATATAAATATTTAATTTAAAATCAGAAAATATAGAATATGTATAGAGTAAAATTAAAAACATTTAAGCATATTAAAATATTTTAAAAGCTATTATACCTACTATTTATAACCTTATCACTGTTATTTATTAATTATTACCAACATTAAGTAAGCTCTTTCCACATTTACAGTAAGATGTATAATACAAAATATGTATTAACTACATTTCAAACAAGATATTTTAAATATAAATATAGGTAACTTTAATATTTTAGATTCTGAGTGGAAAGATGAATGTATTGACTTTACAATGATGTGTGTTTTTTTATTTTTATTTTTTTTTGTGTCTGTCATCACGGTTTGGGGCAGTAAAACTGCTTCGATTTTCTTCAACAGTATCTTTTTCGATGAGTGAATCTTGTTGGCGTATACGGGAGGTCAAATTTTAAAATTCTTAATAGTTTTCAAAAGCGCCGGAAAAAACAACATAAAAATTAAGGAAAAATAGGAATTCAGTTTTTTTTTTTTTTTATAAGTACTTAAATAAAGATTTTAAAATGTAATGCAAGATTCCTTATAAGATTACCTACCTTTATCAAAAAAAAAATGTCTATAAGAAAGTCAAATTAAATTTTTACAACATTGGATATTCACTCGATTTCTCATATAGCGATTTTCTTATTTTGTTGTAATTTAAAAAAGAATAACTGTAGATACATGAAAATTTCACTGAATGTTTATATTAGCATTTCCTATACACCATACAATTTTCAAAATATTTTGACTCTTTTTGAGCTGTTTAAGGACATTTTCAGTTTTCAATTTTTTTAGTTTTTTTTTCTATAAATATCAATAAAGTTTTATCTGTTTTGCCAAAAAGTGTAAAAATTTAATACAAGACTCCTCTGATATATTGTTACAATATCAGTTGAAAAATATTAAAAATGCATAGGCACAATTTTTTTTTTATAAGCATTTAAAGATTAAATTTTGACAAAATTTATCCTAAAATTAAAATCGAATAATTATTTTGTAGTTAAAATGTATGAAATGTTCAACTTTTATATCTAAGGATTGAAAATTTAATACAAGATTCCATGTAAGTAGTTTTTTTAATACGATAGATAAGTATATAATATTTCTTATACCTAGACTGACATACCATCTCCGCTCAGAATCGTTTATCTTATACAATGATATTATATCATTGAATTCAAATTAAATACCACCCATTATACAGTGACCCACTTGTAACCTACTGTACAGCAGAGCACCTTTTTTTTCAGTGAGTTTTTTAAATCTTTATTTAGTGATTACCACCTAATTCAAAGTAATATAAGTACATACCAATAACTAATACTTCAATCTATATTTTATAAATAATTTAGTTACATAAAAATAAAAATTGTTAATAATTAGTTATAACTTAAAATTAAAATATAAAATGTTTACCTTACAACACAGAAAGAGACATTTTGTTCAAGTAATGCTAAGTCATTATATTGAACATGAGAGTTAATATGTTAGAACTAATAAGTAATAAAACTATAAAAGAGTATAGATAAGATTAGCTCAAATTTCAAGGACATAAGTGTAAACATGACGTCAATGTTAATCTTTTGAGTTTTGACGGCATAAACATAAAACTTACTACACAATATACATCAATACCAATTAATTAGTAGGGAAATTGTTTAGTATTTTTTTAAATGTATTAAATATATGACCTTTATTGGCCCTATTTACATTTATACCTGCATTTCCATATATCTAAAATAGAGATAAAGTATATTTTTGTATAACTACTTGAGGACTATCATTTTCAATTATTTAATTTAAAATTGTTTTACTAATTAAACAGGATCCTGTGGCTATACAAACTCTTTTTTTCAATTTATAATCATTTCACTGCAAAATATTAAGCATACAATTTGGAATGATTAAAGTGATTTTTCAAAATTTTAATCCTACAAAGTTTAGCAAAAAATTTTAGGTTCCATCAGAATTTGTTAGTTGGACTTGGTTTTGATGTTATAGTGAATTTAAGTATTTAAATATTGTTGCACAATGAGTAACGTGGGCTATAGACAATTTATGGTAATCTTAGCATAGAGTATAATGTTTATGGACTTTTAATAACTTTGTTTTAACTCCCACCTAACCTTTCCAAGGTGGTTTTACAAAACAAGTTGAGGGGTATTTTCGATTTTAATTGTCCGAGCTAGCAAGTGACCACACATGGTGAACCTATATTGTGTGCTTTTAGTAATTTAAAAAAAATTGCTTGGGAGCTAAACTAGAATAAAGTCCTAAAAAGGGTTTTATAAAATATAAAATTGATATTTTAATATTGAATATAGTATAATTATTATACTCACAGTATATAAAATGTCAATAGGTTAATATTAGCTATTCCCTAAATTAAACTTTATTGTACCAATATGTGGCAGACAAACTGGAATTACACTTGCACCAAACTACAAAAAATAAAACAGGATGTTTTCGTATGGCCACGTTCCACAGAGTTTCCGAGAAAGTTTGAAGTCATCCTAACAAGACTCCGGATAGGGCACACTCAAATCACTCATAGTTATCTAATGAGTAAAAATGATCCCCCAATATGCCCTATGTCTTACAATCAAACATATAATGACGGAATGTCGAACATAAATCGAATCAAGATTATCCTCGATACTTCCAGAACACCTCTCAGATGTTGGATACAACAGATCTAGCAGCCACCATCAAATTAAAATAAAAGCAAAACTTTAAAAAAAATCGTAAAGCCTATATAAATTGTTCACAAATTATCTGTACATCATTAGAAATAAGTTACATTAAATAATAAATGTGTACCCCAATGGCCTATGTCGCCGAGGGTAATTTTTATAATTAATAAAAAAAAATAAAAAAATATTAACTTTTATAATTTTATAATTATCATAGGCCTTATAATTTCCAAATATTTTATTATACAGCTAATACAGCTAATTATTTCAAAAACTAATTATTCAAATTTCGATCAAGAAATATGAAAGTAGTCATCTGCTTGACAATTTACAGAAAAAAAGAATTTGGTATTACCACAGGACACTCTTTATAAATGGAATATCTGGTAAAATTAAAAATTTCAAGAAATCAGAATTTAAATAAATTCTTAATTAAAGGTAAAGTTGGGGTTGCATGCCTATAGTGAATCACCATGTACATATATAATATAAATATTAAATAATACTTTATAGCTTTAATGTATTTTTTTTTTCTATGATTAAATCAATTTGGTTTTTTACCTAATAGTAAAAATATTTATGATTATTAGTTGTACATTCTTAGACATTTTAAGGCAAAATGAATAAAATGAATTATTTTAAAATTTCAAAAATTCCTGAAAAAAAAAACCCAAGTAGTTGAAATATTTAATACAATGATAATTAATAAGCTTCTGTAAATCCGAAGATTTACGAAATATAGAAGATGTACTCACGAAGAATCGCTGAGAGTGACAATGAAACAGTTGTGATATTTAAAACTGAAAGTTTAAGATGTTTTATCCATAACGCCCAAAGGCGGAAAAATAATTGCACGAGATACGAGTAGGTCGTAGGTTATTGAAATCAATTAAGTTAATCGAATTCACCATGACTGTCATTAGTATTTTGTAAATATTAAATGGCGGTGAATAATTATGATATTGATACAGTGACAATAGGCATATTTTAGCATTTTAATTCGTGGAGACTAGTGAGCACTGAGTACTGAAAAACACGATACTGGAAGATTTATCTAAAGTCTAAAAATGCGAAACATAGGTATTGATAAAAAAATATTTAAATATATTTATTTATTATTAATTATTATACATTAATAATTTATACGCTGTGTATAGATTACGGCACCAGTGTTATCACATAATATGATAAATGAAGATAATAATATAATATCACGGACTTATAGCATTATAGCGACTCTTATATTATTATAGTGTTTTCCATCTGTGTACACCCATAGATATATATACATAATATATAAATATACGTATATATTATCCAAGTGTACACCAACCCTGTCAAAACTCACGAATCAGAATCATGATAATCTTTACGGCATATTGTTCTGTGGTATTGCACACCGGTTTGATCTGGCGAATTTGTAGACTTGTCTGGTAATAATTTTAAACATTTTCAACAACTTGTTATTTATTTGATAACAATTATTACCATTGTAGTGATAACTGATAAGTTAGAATGGTTATCAATTGGTGGTACTTCTGGCCGATGTGGCGGGCATTTAAATTTTACTATGATTTTACCGAATTCCGAAACATCGGGAACGATGCCTCTATGACCACGATTTAAGAGGACGTGAAACACAGAAGTCAAAAATGTAACACACTAACACACTAAGTTACTAACTCAGCAGATCACGTTTAGCATCGTTAGTTTAAAAATTACGGTGAATCGACTTATTGTGAAAATATTATCAAATTAGCAAATCATAAATATTAAATATCCATATCATATATCCATTATTTCAGGAGATATCGCAATGGGTAAAACCTCAAGGGACACTCTTGACACGATTACATTTTACCATTGACCCAGTGGCGTCCGCAGGATTTTTCAATGGGGGGGGGGGCTTGAAAATTAGTTACAAATTTATTTTTATTTGGTCCAGTCTAATAATTTCAGACGTTTATTTGAGGTATTTTAAAATGTTTGTAACTTTTCAACTTTTCCGGTAGAAAAAATGCTCTTATCATAAGCTTCGATGCCCAGTGTATGTTTTTGGAAGCAAATTAGATCTAGTTGGTACTTTTAGGAGGTCGAAATTAAATCTGCTCAGTGCTTTTAAAAGTACCTAATTGGAGAAAAAAAATGAAAACTTATTTAAATTGTTTGGTAACAATAGCTAGGTTACAGTGACGTATTTATGGAGGGTTATAGGTGCTTATTAATATTTTTTTTTTAAAGTAATAATAATATGGGCAATGGGGGGGCTTCAGCCCGTTAGCCCCCCCCCCTGCGGACGCCACTGATTGACCTATTATAATAGGTTGTTATTATTATTATTATTATTATCTTGGTGGTTATTTACATGACAAAATAAATATTTTATAATATTTTAATATGGTGTAGTGGAAAATTATGATTATACGATCTTTTTACTGAAAATACGATAATTTTAAGGTCCCCGTACGATATTCTAATTTTGAAATAGTGGCAGTGTTGCCAGTGTTGGTCATACCATAGACGGGCATAGAACAATACTGTGCTTTTTAAAACTCAAAAAACTGACAAAGCGACTAATGCAGGGGCGTCATTTCAGTTTTTCTTAGGGTGGGGCAACATTTTTACCGGGCCCTTTGATTATTTAGTTAAAATAATATGTGTATTGCAGCTACCTCTAGAGCTCGAAAAAAGAATAACAAAACAAATATTTTTTTTAACTAATGCTATATCTATTAAGCAAGAAGAAAAATAAATAATACAGCTAAAAATAATATACTAGTTCATAATATGATATAATAATTAAATTTAAATAAAATAGCAAAAATTAATATAAGTTTAAGATTTTAAAAAATATCTACGAGATTTCATGTCTGCAAATAAATCAATAGCTTCCTGAAGATCAACTTTTGCAGCTACATCACCTTCAACAGCAATCACTAGCAAATCGCTCAAGCGCTCATCAGTCATTGTTAGTCTTAAGCATGTTTTTATACGTTTTAATGACGAAAAAAAGCGTTCGTTAGAAGCAGTTGATACAGGTAGTGTCATTAAAATAGAAATAATTTTTAGGGTCTCTGGAAAAGTTTGGAATTTCCAACAATTTTTTAGATATGGAAAAAAGATCATGAACTCCATCTTCAAGGGTATTATTTTTGTTTTTAGAAAGTAGGTTTTTGGCAATAAGAAATTCAGACTCTAGGAATAAAGGATTAATTTTGAAGTAATTATAGTGATCCAAAAAACCTTGAAGATAGGGACTTTTGAAGTTAAAGTAATCAGGATCCGAAGAAATAAATATAGTACAGGTTAAAATAAAATTGTTGTTAGTGTTATTAAAACGTTTGTTAAGTTCACTCATAAATCTATAAAATAAATAATTAATATTAATTAGTAATTACATAATAACCATGCTAATAAATATTGTGTAAAAAAATATAATAAGCGTTGTATAGAAGAATGAAGTTATGCATTGAAAATTAATCTTTTGTTTATATTATACATGCAATAATGCCAAGTAAAAAACAAAAAAAGTCCCTAGTTACATTGGTAAGTAATTATTTTAATCATATTTTCAAATCATAACTCATTTAAAATGTTTACAATTTCATAACTTAATAACTTAAATATGTTTCTAAATTGCTTAAAAATGTAGCGTTCTACGATTATGAGTTTAGGGCGAGTGGTCCACTATGAGTAAGACTCTATAAATATTTTTATATAGCTCTACTATGAGCGAAGCCACCATTCCAGCGGCCCTGTGCCCCTATCGTACTAAAAATTTAACCGGCCCACAAAAAATCAAGGGTGGGGCAATTGCCCCCGCCTGCCCCCCCCCAAATGACGCCACTGGACTAATGACGACTGACAACTAAACATTATATTTATTATTTAATATAATACTAAATAGTAAAAAGTAAATTTATAAGTCATGAATTAAGACTCGGTATTCCTTTAAAGTAATTACATTTTTCGCGGTGACAATTTTTTCACATCCAACTTGAATTTATTTTTATTTACACACGTCCGACTGGACTTGTCATTATTAAATTGGGTATTGTGCCTAGTGGCAACTGCAGTGTCCGTCGGGACATTTAGTTGGTTGTTCGGGCGCCTTTATATATCTAGTCGATAAGTCAATAACGTGACAGGTTAGAAGATGGTGAAGCAGTTCGCGGTTTAGTCGTCAGTACCCGAAAAGATAGGCGAACAACCAGAGGGCGTATATTATATTAAATTAAAAGTTAGAAATTAATTAAAGAAGTAATATCATGGACATACCTATATACTACGTTTACACGATACGAGTTGAGCCGTTCTTAATTTAAACTGATTTTATTATGAGTCGACCTAAATTTCCTGACTTGTTGCTGACCTACACGTGTATGTCTTTAATATTAAATCGGTATGTTATAAGTAGCGTTCGGGACTTGTTGCATTTGCATATTGCTTAATAATGACTGCAGAATAGTCTAAGTAAGATTTAAATTTCTTTTAACTTTTAAATCATAACGGATTGAAATACAAAAATTTTAATTGCATATTTTTGCAATTTTTGCAGTTTTCTGAGCAAAATGCATATTTGTATACAAATTTTGGCAGTTTAATTGTTATTTATAGCATATTTACGCAGTTAAGTATATTTATTTTAAAGGTTAACTTTATTTTTTTTTACTTTCATGCGTTGTTCAATATCTCTGTTTCAATGTCTAATTTTATTGTACAGTCAAACTTTACATGTAAACAATTCATCGTTTTTATATTTAATAATAATTTAATATATTAAAGAAAAACCCAACCTTTTTTCATTGTAGAAGGCGAAGAAAATGGAATCGAACATACACTTCAGTAATATAATGTTGATAGTTTTATTGTTGTCAAAAAATAACTTATTACAAAAAAATGTCTAAATTTGAATGAATAAATCAAATTTTTTAATTTTATTTAAAAAAATATTCAATTGCATATTGTTTTTATTTTAAGTGCATATGTGCATGCATATTTCCTACGATAAGTGTGCAATAAGTCCCGAACCCTAGTTATAAGCTTCATTATTCCACCATTAACCATTACAGTAATTCCGTAATGGTAGGTACCATTTGTAATTTGAGTTACGTTACTACCCAACATTGCGGACTAAGAAAAATAATTATAATTTTATCTTAGTCCGTGAGATAAGGTAACTTATCTGTAATCTTGGGTAGTAACGTAACTCAAATTACAAATTACTGTAATGCAATTACTTTTTCAGTAACGCAGCAATAATTTGAACTAATTTCATTACATTTTACTTAAAGTAATGCAATTGTAACAAAATTACTTTTCAAAAGTAACTACGAAGTAACGCACTAACGTGTTATTTTCCACGTTATTAAGATAATAGCAATGAACAATTATAGTTTTGAATGTATTACAAAAACAAGCCGATAGGATATCCCAGAAAAATTAATATATGATATAATATCATTCATTGTATAAGAAAAACGATTCTGAGCGGAGAGGGTATGTCAGTCTAGATTTAAGACATATTATTATATACTTATCTATATTATTAAAAAAAATTGACCTATAATAGGTAGGTACCTAGAATAAATTCCAAATTAATCATATCACAATATCCATTAGGTACTTAGAAACGCGTTATACATCAACAACAAACCCTGATACTATCATAGATATACATATAATGTGTACTTTAGAAGTTTCAAGTTCCCACGAATAATATTATACAACCACAACAAAATAACTAAAATAGTTACCTATTCTAGGTTTTTAATATGTAATTTCGTCCAAATTTGAACTTAAAATGACTATAAAAATAAACTGTGCTAATGTAGATTTTAGATTTTTTGGTAACAGAATAAACTACTTACGTGGAATCTTTTTTTAAATTTTCAATCCTTAGATATAAAAATTGAACATTTTATACATTTTTAACTAATAAATAATTATTCAATTTTAAATTTGATAAATTTTGTCATAATTCGATCATTTATTGTGCCAATGTATTTTTAATATTTTTTAACTGATAGGTATTGTAACAATATATCAGGAGCCTTGTATTAAATTTTTGCACTTTTTGGCCCAACCGATAAAACTTTATTGATATTTATAGAAAAAAAAACTAAAATAATTGTAAACTGAAAATGTCCGTAAACAGCTCAAAAAGAGTCAAAATTGTATGGTGTATAGGAAATTAGGAAATGCTAATATAAACATTCAGTGAAATTTTCATATATCTACAGTTATTCGTTTTTGAATTACAACGAAATAAAGAAATCGCTACAGAGAAATCGAGTGAATATCCAATATTGTAAGAATTTTAATTTCAAACGCTCATAAAAATTTAATTTGACTTTCTTATAGACATTTATTTCTCGATAAAGGTAGATAATCTTATAAGGAATCTTGTATCACATTGTAAAATCTTCGATTTAAAAAGAAAATTTTTTATGAATTCTTAACTCAAAATAATTTGAAAATTTTCGTGATTTTTCCATATTTTGTCAATTTTTGGACTTTAAATGCTTATAAAAAATAACTGTGACTAAAGATTTTTAATATTTTTCATCTGCCTTTGAAACAATATACTAGAAGCCATCTATTAAATTTTCAAGCTTTTTTAACCAACTAATAAATTTTTATTGATATTCATAAAAAAAAAATTAATAAAATTAGAAACTGAAAATGGCCCTAAACAGTTCAAAATAAATCAAAATATTTTGAAAATGTTATCGTGTATAGAAAATGCAAATATAAACAACCAGTGAAAATTTCACTTATCTACGGTCATTTGTTTTAAAGTTACACCAAAAACCAAAATCGATTTTCTCGAAAACAGATTTTGGGTAAGAATTCCCGTTTTTCCTTCATTTTTCTTTTGTTTTTTACGGCGCTTTTGAAAACTACTGTAATATTTTTATTTTTGACCCCCAAAGTACCAACTATATTCACTTTCCTATCAGAAAAGATACTGTTGAAGAAAATCCAAGCACTTTTACCGTCCTAAAAGGTGATGACAGACACAAAAAGAAAAAAAACACACATCATTGTAAAATCAATACATTCATCGTTCCACTCAGAATCTAAAATACGACACTGACGACGTATTATAACTTAAATTATTAATTTTGTACTATATTTAAAAATTAATATAAAATTATGAGTTTTGTTATCTGTAATCTAGGATTAAAATGTTTGAAGCCTATATTATAAATTACGCGGGATTTTCAATACTTTATCAATATTTTTCTTATCAATAATTCGATAACCACAAGGCAGGACGTGAAAACAAATAATTTCGAGTCGGACGTTAAAACGAATACTTTATAGTCGGACTTGAATATAACCACTGCCTACATTTTTCAAGAATGGAAATTAGCGATCCCTATTTAAAGTACAAGTTTATTGTAAAGAAATGGGAAAATGAGTTTATCAAGACCAACAGTCGCAATCCTAAAAAGGTATTTACAACAGTTAAGTTATACAAATGTTATAAATAATTATATAAGTATTGCAATGTAAATTTTGTTGTAATTCAAAAAAAAATTCTTTCATTTTAGGATGATATTAAGTTGGCTGAACAAAAAGTGCGATATGCATACAAAATGTACTGGAAAATCAAAACTTCTTTACTCGAAAAAACTCTGATTGGTGAAGTAGATGATGCAAATGATTCCACAGTTGATGAAACATTATTTCTCAGCTATATTAATGATCAGACAGAATCAAACAAACCGATTAATGATGACCCATCTGTTGATACTAATAAGCCATCGGTTTGGGGTAAACACTTGAATAATAAGCCTAAGACTGAAATACCAACAATGGTTAAGCCCATTGAAAATAACATATCTGTACAATTTTCAAAGAAATTATTTGATGGTTGCGATTTTAAGAAAAGAAATCCTCGAAAAAGTATTGTAAAAAAGAAAACTAGTGAACTTGATTGTTCTCAAAATGTATCGGAATGTATCACCAACATCACATCTAATGATTCTAACATACAAGAGGACAGCGCATTTCATGACGATTCTAATTTATCTGTAATTGCTGCAGATTCTAATGTAGTAATAAACAGTACAATTCAAATTTCTAATATTTCAAGTTATACACCACAACCCCTAAGCTTACTGCAA